CTTCTGAGGGCAGCAGGTGAAGAATTTTATAATTCAACAGGGCTGCATGAAAAATATAACACAATTCACCACATTTAGCCTGGAGCCTGAATAGCAGACTTGATCATTTGTATAATATAATGTATATCACTGTTTCTTAGCCCAGAGGAACATCATATTTTCTGTCTGACACAGTCATTTCTCGACTGACTTCGTTCCTCTTCTTCCTCTTGTGTGTGCTGTCCAGGTCTTAATGATTCTCTGTACCAAGCCCCACCAGCATCCAGTGGACCTGTAGAGCTCCGCCAGTCTCTAGAATCAGGTACGGACCCCTTCAAAATAAGTTAAATGTTAGAGCAAAAATAAAGTATAATAATGTATTCAGTAAATATTTACTGAAAGCTTTTTTTATGACTAGAAACGTTTGAGGTTCCAGTTCAATCAAACGTCCAAGATAAGGCGGTAATGAGCTGAGTCTCAGCCTCTGAATGTGACCGATTTGTCTGAGTATTTAAGGAAAATATTGCTTGGCCATTCATATCTAAATGATATAAATATTTTAAATCATATCACATTGAAAGTGATCATTCTCTTTACATCTCAGTGTCATGAGCTGTGTACAGGCAGGAACTGTGGACCCAAGGTGCAGACACTTTGAGCAGGCGGGCAGGCAGGGCAGACAGCATAGGATGAGGGAGACCACAACACAGATCGAAGAAAACACAGGGCTTAAATACACAGAGGGAGCAATCAGGGAATAGGAGACAGGAGAGAAACACAGCTGGGACAAATCAGGGCTAAGACATGGGAAGCAAAACCAAACACATTAACATGAGACACGAACCTTTAAAGTAAAACAGGAAACATAACACAGAGACGCGGACTTGACAAGGGGACACAGCTGACAGGGGAGACAGAGCAACTATGGAACACAGAGACATAAACTATAAGACAGAGAACTCTAAGAAACCAAAAAACTAGAAATGATAAATAATATCAAAATCAAAGTTCAATAATAATGTAAAACTGAAAACCCCTAACACTCAGAACCTGCAAAGATTCTCATATTGCCTCTTTGCATCCTCTCACTTACTCCCATCTTTGGCCAAAATTAACTATTGTCTCTGGGAATGGGCTTGACTACCAGTATGTCAGTGTCGAGTTGACAATTGCTGATCATATTTGGTGATGTGATGTGTGGTGATCGCCAGCTGGCACCAGAAACATGTTACCAAACAGCTGATTAGTATGAGGTTGACATGAAAAAGGTTATTGTAACCAGTGTGTCAAAG